AGTTTTTTGTTTACAAATGCAAATTAAGTTTAAGTCTTGCTTACTTTATTTAGTTGAGTTGTTCATAAATAAACTTAAAACTAAATTTAATAATCTTTTTTTATAGAATGATTTTAAATACAAAAAGAATTCACAACTCCTTTTGAAGAAATTTCCCCGCAAGAGCTAAACAAATGCCTTTAAAAGTTTTAATTGTCGGCTAGAAAAAGCGACGGCCGCGGCCGCCCGGTCATTACGCGCCAAAATTGTAATCGTTGGCAATAGTATTTGAGTTAAAAATCGTCATTTTTGTGCTCAATTATCTCACTGTTTTAGTATATACTAAAACAATTATTCACCTCAGTGTCGGTGGCTAGTCGTAGATTTTGACCTCACTGCTTCGCAGTTCGGAAAATATCCAGGACTAGCCACCTCCACTTCGGTGAATAATTGTTATATATTCAGGTCATTTTTGGAATCGTTGTTAACGATGTATTAATTATTGAAAAATACTCACTAAAATGCAAGTGTTTGATCTGAGATCAAAACTATGTTTGATCTCAGATCAAAACCTGTAAGATTTTCATCTGAGTGTACATTGGGTATCAAGGTTCATGTATGTGACCTAAATATTCTTCATTTATTGGTTGTTGCCCTCATGAATAATTAATGAGTTTGAGAAGGAAACTTCCTTTTCAGGCTTATTAGGGTTGTTGCCAGTTTATTTGAGGCTTCTTGAAGTTTTTCTTGGAGCGCCTTAACTCGTTCTTGAGCTTCCTGAAAATAACTCTAGAGTGGGAAAAATATAGGAGATTTGTACATCTTTCTGAAGAGGAAATCAAAAGAATGTGACTTCAGTCATATGAAGGATACTAAAAGAAGCGGATAGAGAAAAATGCCTGGTACGTATGCGGTCAGGTTGCCAAGAGGATTGATGACGCCCCTGTTCTTAAAGAATACATTAAGAGTAAAGTGAGTGAGCCTCCTGATGAACTGTTCTTTTTCAGTTCTTCTCATCTTGATAGATATCGGAGCGCATCAGGAAGAAACAAAATGGAACTCCCTGGTGCAATATACTTCAGAAAGATCGAATCGTTTATGGAAGACAACTACATCCGTGGAGAACTCTTTATAGAATTCTGTCTTGATGCTGCGGCATAGAGGAGACCTCCAATCTCGGTTCTTGCTGTTCTAACGATAGCTGGGTGGGACCAGAGACAGAAAGAATTCCGCAACCTATACCAGACCCAAACAATCGGGGACATTTCATGGATGTCTATCAGACGGAATCGACAAGCAGGACACCGGATGACTCCCGCGAAAATGTTTGAAGAACTTGTATGAGGAAGATTCCGTCAGTGTCATAAACGATGGAGATACTATCAAGAGCTTCTGTTCGAAATACAATGTTGATGGAAGGCATGTTTTTACATAAATTAATCATTTTAAAGATACTGATATCAGAAAAGACATTACAACAATAGAAGCTGAGAAACGAAAGAGGCAAGAGGCAGAACCGACATACAAGGACTTCAAATGGGACACGTCACCCTTATCGAGAGTGGCAAGATCGAAAAGTTAAAGGGAAAAGAACTTGACTTCTACCTGAACGAACACAGACTGACCGCTATTGATCGAAAGCTTGACAAAGTAAAAGCAATTCGATGTCATTATTACCGACACATCAAAGAGTCTGTGAACACAGACAAATCGTGTGGTGTCAAAGACTGGGAAAGTGACGGGGAATCAGAGGATGAAGAATATGAGGAAGAATTCCACAGTGTGGAGGACGAGAGCGACAATTAATGACTTTGTCTTCAACGATTTGTTTGAGGAGAGTAACCCTTCACAGACAATTCAGTTCATATCAGATGACCAAATAGGTGAAGTTGTTGTTCAACGTTCATGAGACATAAGTATTAATATACATTTCACTTGCTTGCATATAGTAACACTGGCTTTTTGTGGTGGCTCGTATAGAAGAGGTGGGATCATGAAATCTTCCACCGCCAATGTGGGGGGATCAAAACCACACTGTATGCTTTAAGGGGGGATCACGTAAGTGCTCCGTTGTTGCAACAAAAATCCTTCGCCCCCCCTTCCGGTCCCTAAGAACGAACGAGACCAGGTTTCATGAGCGCGTGAGACTGAACACCTCACCCAAACCCTTATGTTTTCCTAAATCCGCTGGACGCCAAAACCTGGTTGAGGTCATTGTTGCTTAATCTCTTCCGACTATTTTTTCTTGTCAAAACGTGTGAAATTTTCCGCCATTTTCTCTGGCGCAAAAAAGTTTAACCTACCATGTGGCACGAAATTTTTGCGGAAGTTTATATTTTTGCGGATTGGTGATTTTTTGTGTTTTGCGGGAACTAATTTTTGCGATTAAGACAGATTGGTTTTTCTTGCTGGGATGGTGCTTGTACTGGTGCTCGTTGGAGGGGGACCCAGCATTGATAATATTTTCGTTTTTGTTAAGTACGTGCAATAGAAATATATATTTTCAAACAATATTACCGTATGCGGACCCTATGTAATACCACTGATTCATTGTATACCGTTTTGTTTCTGAAAGAAAGAGGCAAGTTGTAATTGAACAAGCACGATTTCTTAGTACTGTTTTTTTGCGTAGCGAATTTAAGTTAGAGAATATTTACTCTGGAGAAAATTTTTGCGGGAAAAATGTTTGCGGGAACGTATTTTTGCGGATCGCTGGAAAAATCGCAAAAACGCAAAAATTAGAACCACCCCAAATTTTGTGACACACGGTAGTCCCCAGGGCCTCTCGATTGCATAGCCTTTTTCTGCAGAAAAATAATTTTTTGAAGGAATAACAATAGGCTTTAATCCTGACCAAATGGAAAGCAGGGCAGGTTAATTCACGCTGCTGCTTTTAGGAGGGTCTCGACGGGATCAACCGTAAAACAGTCAAATTTCAGCCGTCAGGTGGAAACGTTTAACTGTTAGTCGTAATAAAAGTCAAACAGCCGTAAATGTTTAATCTCTTACCAAAATTTGTCATTTACACTTAGAAAGTCAACATAACAACTGCTTGTTTCGTTTTTACTGGTATTGAATCGTGGTTGATGGATCCTTTTTTATTAAGACTTAAATTTATGGCGTTCCATAATTAAAATTCAACCAAAAATTACTGATGATATAGCACCGTCGATTGATTGCCGGCTCACAGAAGCCACTGTCAGTTTCATCAGTATAATTATTGTGTAAATGGTCTTATATGTAAAATGACAGTTGCCCTGGCCTGTTCATTGGTCAAGATCAGGTGAAGAGAACCAGAATAACTAAAAAAAAATTGTCAGAACGTCACTCTGCTGGCATGAGGTGTAAAATAACTAGCTTTGACTCGGTCAAGGAGAAACAAAAAAATGCACGTTTTACTGCCGATACAGCTATAGAAATTTATCATAGTTCAATTTGCTCCTCTCAAACGAATGATCATAATGATTAGGCAGCCCAACCCCGAAAGAGTAGACGAGCTGTTCAAAGCTGGAACGGTATATTTAACAAAACGAGAATTCACTGGAACATTTTGCACCTGTTTTCTTTGTTTAGAATCATGCAGTTTCTTTTATTATTAACACACACAAAAAAATTAGGTAGTTATTTTTCTTTTTGGTGCAAATCAATTGTTATAGCTTAGTCCGATGCATATTTTTATGGCGTTAATAAGGACTGTTATTACATTGAAATACAGACAAGTCGTATTTAATGTGACCCTGTTATTTAAGCAGGGATGTTAATTATAATCTTTAGTTAAAGCTAGTTAAGAGGAACTTCCTTTAACTGCTAAGATGGAGACCTGGTTTTGGATTCTTCGCTGGGTTCTTTCATTTTTGACCATCATTGGAAATGGATTTACAATATTTCTCGTTTGCAGCAGACGAAATCTCCGCACCAAACCCAACGCGTTAATTGTTTCACTTGCCGTGGCGGATTTCTTCGTTGGTTTGAGCGTTATTCCTTCTCTGTTTTTCTGCGACATTACAAACACCTGCCACTGGCCTCACACTCACGACCATCATTTGCTATCTTGGGTGAATTTTATAAGGTTGTTGTTTAGTAACACGTCTGTTGCAAACTTATGCGTCTTAGTACTGGATCGTTTAATTGCCATCGTCCATCCTCTAAAATACATTACTTTGATGACTCGCCGTCGAATTATTCAAGTTATTTTCTTCTCTTGGGTTCTACCAGCTAGTTATAATGTGCTAACGTTTATCCCTTTTATGTTTTATTTCAAAACAATACCTGTCCCTTTTATTTGGCTGACCATAATTTTGGAGTTTATTCCATGTGTTGTGTTAATACTCTGCTTTGAGACAATGATATTTCATGTATGCAGGCATGATCAGTCAGCACGCACCTTAGCAAAACAGTTACGTTTTAACCATCAGGTGACGTTTAAAATCCACCAGGACAGGTCTGCAGTAATAATGATGGGTCTTGTGATAGGAGTGTTTCTTGTTTGCTATGGGATGCATCTGCGTTGTAGTTTTCTAACACTGTCCTCATCACGATGTAATGATGAAAACTACAAAATTCCTTTCTTGGTTTTAAACTCGGCCATTAACCCGCTGGCTTATGCCTTTTTCAAAAGAGACATAAAGAAAGAGTTTAGAAGACTTATCGGTCAGGTGGTTTTTAAGAAAAGTAACCAAGTAGAGCTTTCCACTCATCGTTAGTTCATTTTTGAAGAACAGAAATCTTATAAGTTGGCAGAACTGCCTTTGATAGCGGATTGTGTCAAACATCGCGGGCGGCAGTTTTGGAGCCCGCAAATCCCTGGAGGTTTGTCTCAAATCATAGTTTGGAAACACTGGTGTTTAAGGAGGGTACAAGAACCAAAGTACGATAAGAATACAATCCAGTATAAGTCAGGTGCTTTCTTGAAACGATTCCGAGGTATATATATAAAAAAAGACTTGTTGGCGCTGTGTTTTAAAGAAAATACAACAATTTTAACTAAACCCTACGACAGGACGCGTGACTCAGTTTTGGAC